TGATTGAAGCTAAGGGCATACAAAACTGTCTAACACAAGCATCATTGAACCGCTTGATGTAGCTCCAGATGGACTCCCCTTCCTTTTGCACTATGCCGAGGAGGCTCTCTTGAGTTCTCAGGCACCTTTTGTTGGTAACGAAGTGAGAGGTGAAAACTTGCACGAACTGTGCCCAACTTCTTATTAAGCCGGGTGCGAGGTTTTGGTACAAGGTGTAGGCTACTCCTTTGAAAGTGGTGGAGAAGGCCACGCACATACAAGACTCGTTGGCTCTTGCTAGGTGCATCTGGGACTGAAAAGCGTCCACGTGGTCATTTGGATCGAAAGACCCATCGTACTTATCCAGAGGAGGGAGCTTGAAATCCCTTGGCATGGGGACAGTGAGGAGTTCTAGAGATAACGGGGAAGAGACTGAGAGGAGAGGGGTAGCTTCCACTTAACCTAAGCATACCTTCTCTTTTCCTTTGAGCTCGTGAGAGACTCGAGTAGTAGTTTGGCGAGCTCACTGACGTCTTCGCTGCTGCTTTGCTGGCTCGGCGTTGGTGCTTGACGCTTCAGTATCACCGAGCTCGATAGGCTCAGACTACCGGTGGTGACTCTGCATTGGAGGGCCCTACCTATAGTTTGCGGCCAGGACCTCAAATGGATTCTTTGCGAGCGGGAGCTCGAACTGCGAAGGATGGGGTGAGACGGGCTTGGTTGGTTGGGTGGTCCCCGACCTACCTACAGGCTGCGAGGTAGGGGTAGCTGGCCTCTCCTTCTTGCTATGGGAGGAGGTTTGGCTCTTGGCAGGATCCTGAGCCTGGTAAGACCTCTCCCCAGCGAGGAGGTCGCTCACTCTGGTGGGAAGGCTTGGTCTGCTTTGTGGCCGGATGCCGAGGGGGAAGCGACAGCTGGGCCTGAGGCAGAGAGGGAAACTGCTACTGGTATTGGTACTGGGAGACCTGGTGCAGCACTTGCTGTTGGTAGAGTTGGAATTGTTGAAATTGTTGCATTTGAGCCTTCATGGCCTGCATGCATTGCATTAAGTCCTCCAACTGGTTCGAGTTGGCCGCTGGGGGCACAACCGAGGGTTCAGCAAAGGTTGCTCCAACTGTGGAAGGGAGTGGAGAGACTGCGGGTGCCACTGTAAGAGGCATGTTCAAACTGAGTACTCCGTCCACGGAGAGGGGGACGGTGAACTATCCAATACAGACAATGGGAAGCTAGGGCTGCTCCCCAGAAGCGTTCTGGTTGGTGCCACGTCCGGCATTGCTGAAAGAAGCCATGAATGCTGATTTCTTTTGAAGAGAAACTGTGAAAGCTTAGAGGAAGGCTTTTAGAAGCGTAATCCCACAGACGGTGCCAAATGATACGGCACGATCTGGGCACTCCTAGCTGGCTGCTGACTGGCTCCTTGTTGGCAACGAACGACACCTGAGAAGAGGAAGATGAAGGATCCCTAGGGGATTTGCCCGGCGAGAATACTCCGAAGCTTAAGTTAGAACGCTGGGGGGGAAGAAAAGAGTGTAAAAGGCTAAGAGTGTAGGTCGCGCTAGATCACTATGTCTCGAGATTAGCTCATGAGCAAGTAAGAGTCTAAGTTCAGATCTAATTCCAGAGTCCCCTTCTCTTCGTTTAAAGGGCTTTTATAGGGGCGTTCTTGTCAAATTAGGCATAACCGCCACTGAACTCTTGTCGCAGTCGTTACCTGCCGCGGCTGCGCTGGTGATCGTTACAATGTACTACCCACTTGGCTGAGTGACACGTCTTTGAAGGGACAGTCACGCCACCATCTGTCGAGAGACGTGGGGCAGACTGTCCAACGGGCAGGGACTGCGCCGTCAGTCGAGAGATGTGGCGCAGTCTGATGAGTACGGTCTTGTCAGATAGAAGCTTCCTGAGGGCGTAACATTGCTTAGCCGCGAGCTACTTTGTAGCGAGATCTTAGGGGTACTTCGGGGTGACCCTTATCAAGGTTGGTCTTCAGGGCAGTTCTTCTGCCCATGTGCTGGAGTGAAATGGTTTCCCTGGCTCGCGAGTTGAAATAGCCTTGGAGTATTCCCTTCATAGCTTGTGGGCAGCTCGGGGGACCTGGAGCTCGCGTTGTAGCGAGCTCCCCCTATAGCGAGCTATGACGTAGCAAGCTGCTCTACAAGTTCGTACTTAGTTGTGGTCAAGTCATGATGATGAGTTGTTGCTCCTGCTGATTCAGATACAAGTGTCATCGTTTCAGTTGGTTGGGTCAAATCATCCTCCATCAAATATATTTTCAATAATTCTGTATTTTTGCTATAAATTTTTAATAATTATTGGAGATTAAATTGTTGTTATTTATTAGAGATTAGACTATTAATTTAGCTAAAATTAGGAGATCATAGGTTGTTTTAGCTCGATTGTAGGCTGTTTGGCCAAGAAAATCGACCTGGTCAAGTTGGGGAGTTGGTCACCCAAAACTGACTAACCATTACTGAGAACCGACAAACTTGGGTTGTATCGGTTTGGGTTGATTGTCGGTTTGGTTGGTCACTTCAAAATATTTAAACTTAAAAAATTAAATTTAAATCTTAAAAAGTTATAGTGGCATTATTAAAAATAAATTTATGATATAAAATATTTTAGACTAAGAAATATGAAAAATTCCCCACTTTCCCGTACTAAGGAAATTATATTAAAAATATAAAATATTAATATATGTATATATATATATATCAGCTTGTTCGATTTTAGTCAATTTACAAATGACCAAAGCGAAACTAATCCAAGTGGTCAAATTAGAAAATTGTTGAAGTAAAGCCAACTAGAAATATAAGAAAATTGACTAACTCAAATTGAGTTGGTCAGGTTGGTCAGTTTCATCAGTTTGATGAACCATAGCTGAAATTAATTATTGTTATTATTTTTGTATTACAAAAAATATTAAAATTAGTATATAAATATAAATAATTATTAGTTATTTAAAAAATTAAAATTATAAAACAATCTTTGTGTTTCTATTGTTTAGATTTCACTTAGTAGGTCCCTAATAGCAAGGTTTTCGAACCGCCGTTGACTTGGACGGTCGGACCGTTCGGCCCGGGAATCGTCCAAGCAAGCAATTTTGTTTTACCCCAAACCTAGTTTTTGGTCAAAAACCATTGAAAAATTCAACAAACCGTTGACTCGGGCAATCGAACTGTCGACCCGTCAACCCATTCAATGATCTTTTACCGTTTTTTATTTTTAATTATTTTTTATTTTTTTAATTATTTGTCAAAACGGACCATACATTCAAACCGGATGGTCGAACCATCGATCCGGAAACTGGTGGCCAGAACGGTTCCGTTTCCAAGTCGTTTTTTAAAACGTTGCCCAATAGTAAATATATATGACACAATAGTTGCTTTGATGATACATAGATGATTTCAGCTGCCTCCGGTCCGTGATACAAATCAAAGAACAATGGTTTATGGCTAACAAATCTGTTAGCCATTGTGTAATATAAGCACAATGGCTAACAGACACTAATGGCAGGAGAAGATTTAGTCAGTTGTTAAGAAATTTGCCCACAGATAAATCTTCTAAGCTATATCCAGTGTGCTGCCTGTCAAGACAAGATAGGCTTCATTTCTGCAATTAATACTCCCTTAAAGACTGGCCATCTACCTCCATGCCTTCACCTTCCATTCTTCCCCGTCTCGGTACTGTTGGGTAGCTTAGACATAGGAACCATCCACAGCGCGAGAAGAAAACCGGTAGAAAGTTGTAAACTTATAACCCAGATTTCGATAGCCTATCACAGAAACAAAAATCCAGAGATTAAATGATGTCCTCCATCCTCCCATCATCCCATGCTTTCGTTTTCGTAGCTGCTGAATGACCCATCATCTCATTTATGAAGCCGATGGGGTACAGCCTCTGCTTGACAGCTCCATATACCAACCCAAAACTAAAAGCATCTAATCCAAAGCGATTTTCATGGTTTCTCTGTAACAGGTCTTTATAACTAGTCTTCCGCAGCGTTGCAGCTGGCAACTCATTCCTCACTCTTCACTCAGACAGATGGCTAAGAAACAACCATCGTCGTCGACGGTGCTTCCGTGGATACCCAGGATCTATTACTCCACCATGTCCGTTCTTGTGGACGTCGCTTGTCGTCCTAACATTACCATCAACCGCACTCTCCTCAACTTCTTTGATATCAAGATTTCTCCCAACAAAAAATCACGTAATGGTCTGACGAGCGTTGATATAGCAGTTGATCCCGCCCGAGACCTTTGGTTCCGCCTCTACACTCCGACGGAACCCGCGGCCGACATTAGCCTACCGGTCATACTCTTCTTTCACGGTGGAGGATTTGCAACACTCCGCCCTGATTCATTCCTATACGATCCCGTCTGCCGCCGGTTCGCACGGGAGATCCCCGCCGTGGTTGTCTCCGTCAACTACCGCCTATCTCCGGAAAACCGCTTTCCGTCACAGTACGATGACGGGTTCGACGTGCTTAAGTTCCTCGACGGCCGAAGCTTCGATGGCTTCCCCCCGAACGCTGACCTCTCGCGTTGCTTCCTTGCCGGCGACAGTGCAGGGGCGAACTTGGCACACCATGTGGCTTGCCGAGCAGGCAAAACGGAGTTTCGGGCGGTGAAGGTGATGGGGCTGATAGCGATACAGCCGTTCTATGGAGGGGAGGAGAGGACAGAATCGGAGCTCCGGCTGAGGAGGGTGCCGTTGGTGTGGGTGGGTATCACGGACTGGATGTGGAAGGCATTGTTGCCGGAGGGGTGTAACCGGGATCACGAGGCGGTGAACGTATCGGGGCCGAATGCGGCCGATATATCGGTTCTGAAGTATCCGGCGACGTTGGTGTGTATCGGGGGTTTCGACCCGTTACAAGACTGGCAGAGGAGATACTACGAGTGGTTGAAGAGATCCGGCAAAGAGGCTACTCTGATCGAGTATCCAAACGCGGCCCATGCTTTTTATTGGTTTCCGGAATTGCCCGAGTCTTCCCAGTTAATTACCCATATGAGGGACTTCATTCAAAAACAATCTCCTAATAAACACGTCAACTAACTAGACGGCTATATAATGCACGTTATTACAACATTTATTCCTGGTGGTTAATCCTTCATAATACTCTTAGGCCCGGTTCTTTTTCTGTTTAATTTATATAGGTAAAGGTAAATGGGATGTTTTATTGCAACATCTATTTTATTGGTTAAGTTGGTATTTTTCCACCTCATCCTTGATTCGAAAATGATGTTTTTTTGCTTTTTGTTTCAATAATATAATCTTTCCAAATTTATTTATCATCCATTCTAGGAATACATGTCCAAAAATATTCTTTTTTATATATGATATAATAAAACTATGTTTTTAAAAAATGATCCGGAAACGTATCCATTCTGGCCACTGATTTCTAGGTCGACGATTCGATCATTTGGTTCGAATGGACAGTCCATTCTAACAATAAAAATTAAAAAAATAATTAAAAATAAAAATTGCCAAAAACCATTAAACGGATTGACAGGTCGACGATTTGACCACCTAGATCAACGGGTCGTTGACCGATTCAACGGTTTTTTGTCAAGACCGGGTTTGGGATAAAACGGAATTGATTGCCTAGACGATTCACAGGCTGAACGGTATAACCATTCGGATCAATGACAGTTAGAGAACTATGAATAAAACAATTAACAAGGGCCGTTTCCCTTGGCTAATAATTCATAATATAAGAAAAACTCATGAATTGGACTAGAAAATGATGAATTGGAGCCAAAAATAAGGCCAAACAGATTTTAAAGTTGTCCCAGTTGATTAGGCAATTAGCCTGAAAGCTGGTTATTTCTCAACTCCAACCCTTCCAAACAACTATTTAGAATATGCACCCAGATCAACTTCCCAAAAACCTAGATAATTCTTCTTGAATTTTGTTAGTTGCAAGATCTTTTTTTTTTCAAGTTGTAGAGATTTCCCATGGTTGTTGGTGTCTCCCTTAAAAGCTAATTTCGAAATAGAAAAATGTCTGGAAGCGAACTCAGGTTACCACTTACCAACAACACTTGAAATACTACCTAGTAAAAAAATGTTTTGGAGATCAAGGATTACAAAACTGGTGAAATCAAACAACAAGTCAGGTATGGAACTATTACTTGGTATTAGGGTAAAATTTTGGGCTGAGAAGTGTGAAAATATGGCTTAAGTCTACCCTGATGCACATTAAATAATTTTGGGTCTATGGAAGGAAAAGAAGAGAATCTTCAATGCTTCAACATCAGTCAAGAATTTGCATGGATGTTGGGTTGCTTCTCATGGATTTAGCACTAGTAATATTGGACTTGAATGGGCACAATAAGGATTGATTTTGTAAGAAATTTAGAGATTCTAAGAGACATATCCTTTCCTTCTGGGTGAGTTGGGAATTGAGAGAGCTTTTGGAAATAACCTAGGTAAGATGCCAACTTTCCTTCTAGGGCCTGTTG